CACAGCCAGCCCCACCTCACCCAGGCGTCACAGGGCAGGGAAGAAGGAAAACAAACACAAAAAACCTCATAGGTTGAGGTAAAGACTTATCAAAGCTAAAAGATCCACTGCATGGGGTGCCACGAAGAAAGATGCGCCCAGTTAGAACTGGCTGTTACGTGACTCAGCCACGAGCTGTGTCGGAGGACTCGGAGCATCCCAGAACCACAGAATCACAGAATGTTGGGGCTGGAAGGAAGCTCTGGAGATCACCCAGGGCCACCCCCTGCCAGAGCAGGGTCACCCAGGGCAGCCACCCAGGAACGCGTCCAGGCGGGTTGGAAAGACGCCAAAGACGGAGCACCCTCTCTGGTTCAAGTCCCTTCATCATCCTCGTAGCTCTCCGGAGAGCTACGAGGATGATGAAGGGAGTAGGTCCCAAGGAGACTCCACACCCTCTCTGGGCAGCCTGGGCCAGGGCTCCGGCACCCGCACAGCCAAGAAGCTTCTCCTCACGTTGAGGTGGAACCTCCTCTGCTCCACCTTGTACCCACTGCCCCTTGTCCTGTCACAGGGCACAAGTGAAAAGAGGTTGTCCCTTCCTTCTTGATGCCCAGCCCTCCTAGAGTTATGCACATTCATTAGATCCGCTCTCAGTCTCTTCTTCTTCAGACTAAAGAGCCCCAGGTCTCTCAGCCTTTCCTCACCAGACAGGTGCTCCAGTCCCTCAGCCATCCTCACAGCCTTCTGTCCGACTCTCTCAAGTAAATCCCTGCCCCGTGTTCCTGTCTCTGGGTCCCGCACTGCTCTGGCTTACCCGGCTGAGATAGGCTTGTGCAAACGCCAGGTCCTTCTGTTCCCGCAGGGGATCTCTCTCCAGGATGTCTTCGTCGTACAAGAGGAGCAGCTTCGACGTGTCTTTGCTGGCACGAACCCGTCCCCTCTTGTTTCGGGTTCTGTGGGAGCTCCTGCTCTTCCCAGGGGCTTTTGTGTTTTCTCCTGTGAAGCACAAAGCGGGTTGGACAGGGAACTTCTCACACCTGCCCTCCGCTGGCAGACAACTACTCTTCCAGATCAAAACTGCGTCAGCTGTAGTTCTCAGTTCCAGCTGAGTAACAGGATACATCTATGGCTTCCCGGGGCAAAAAAATGACAGTGGGCAAAGAGATACGGTGTGAGCATCAGAGCTGGCTGTTAACGCTGGCAAATTATTCTTTTAGCTTATTACTTACATGAATAGAGTTAACACCACAGATAAATAACTGCTGTCATGTAACACGGAATGAAATAGTGTGGTAAGGGTCGTTACACTGAGATTTTTATGTCTTTAGATTGGGAATCTGTTGGTCTAATGTGCTGAGGTCTAACCCGTCAAAGCTCACTGCTCAAATTCATCAACCATTTCTGTTAAGGCATTCAGAGAATCCTGGAGTGGCTGAGGTTTGAAGAGACCTCAGAAATCATCTAATCCAATCTCCCTGACATGAGCAGGGATGCCCTTAACTCAACCAGGTTGCTCCAGGTTCATCCAACCTGGC